AAATTAATGCTAAGCTTTGACAGCCATCTAGTATGCAAAATTTTAATACGTATGTTTTTATCAGTTTTCTATTTTTCTTAATAGTGCAAGTTAATGTTAAATATAACGTGTAATATTACGTAAAAATGTATTTCTTTCTACAGATCAGGAAGTTCAGTTCCCAAGCATTACTGAACATACGGCTACACTTGCACTGCTCGCCACCCTCGATCAACTTCGCTATAGACGCGCCAGCAGAATCGAAGGCACCCAAAAATAAGAAGGAAATATCTAAAAAGAACAGAGAAGCTCTTGAGGCATTATTAGGAAAGGAGAGGTGAGTTTCAAAAGACAATTGAATATAGTTTATTAGTACTACCTAATCCTAGCAGGAACGAGAGATCTTCCTTGATGCAAAGGGCATTGATTAAAATTGGTGCCTTTCTTTTTTCTGGCGGCAGTCGATGATTTATGGAAAATGTTATCTAGAATGACATTACAAACGAAATTGTCTATGGGCACATATATGGAAATCTCAGTCTGGACTGAGTTATGAGCGTTGAAAGGAGCTGGAGTCAAACATTTTACTTCGGTTTTTTATTCAAATTATTCATAGTTTTGTCACAATTTCTAACCTCATATTGCGCGCCACTGTACGTGGGGCACAGGAAAACCACATCACACCACAATATATTCATATTGCCAGGCACTAATTTTTATTACCTATTTTCTCTCAGTCGATAACTTGTCGGATGCTTCTAGGAGTTGCGTCATGAAGCTTCATGAATGTCAGCAGTGGTACCAGTGGTGGGTTGAGTAGTGGTAGCCGTCCAAACATCTAATAAAGTATATTTTTTTTGCCATTGACTCCTGGTGGGACACTCATCTACTTAATAGTTATCATAATCTTTTGAAGAAAGAAAACCATCAACTTTTAAAGTGATCAGCGCTATTCAATCCGCTACCGACGCCGCAGCTGACAACCATAGCATTTCATGATAGGGCTCAGTAAAGTATTTTGCGGATTTTCGACTGATAGGAAATTGATCATGAAAATCTGTCATAGGCCATAAACCGTATACATATAAAGTGAATACGCTAGCCGATCAAGCGAAATATTTTTTTTTTACTTGAGCTGTGGCCAGTTAATGGTTCACTCTGTTCTGGTTCCGTGGCCATAAGGCCAAAAAAAAAACAAAAAAATAATAATAATAAAATAGTTTACAAAAAGCTTTATTACATTCCTTGACATCGTTTATAATCATATATTACAAAATATTTCTGACAAGTAAATGAAGAAATATGCATTGTGTACGGTCACCATCAACAAAATGACAGGTATAATACAGCACTATTTTCACATCTTTGAATTGATTTAACTCGGTTTGGACTGTGTTTTTGATATAAGACCCCATATATTTTTTTGTTTGTAATGTTATTCTGCATCAGTTTTTCTACATCCGATCAACTGCCGCGAAAAAATGAAAAGGCACCACGCTCCATACAAATTTGGTCATTGTCATTTAAAAAGTTATATAATTGTTCACAGAATGCCGCCTACAAGTTCTACAGAAGACTCGACAGAAGCACCAGCGACCAAGAAGCCACGCTTAGATGATGACAGGATTAGTATCAGTAGCGAATCGGCCGCTTCGGTCGTTATCTCAGATGCTACAGATGATGAAATCGAAGAAATTAATGAAGAACAAATTGATGTAGAAGAAGAAATACAAATTTTCACAGAACAAGATGATGCTCAAGACCAATCTAGTGAAAAAAGTAAACAAACGTCAGATACTCCTTGTATGACAGTCGACAACTCCCCAGAACCAAATAATGATGAAATCATTGTGCCAAATCAAACAAATTCTATTTACGATGCCAAAACACAAGTCCCATTGAACACTTCACATGATACAATAGATGGTGATAAAAGCCCAAGTTCTTTAGAGATAGTTTATGATGCTCCAAACTCAAGCAGTAAAGTAGCCATGATAGAAAAGATGGATGACGATAATCTCCCCAGTACTAATGAAACAGATGACGTGCAAATAACTTGTGGACAAGCTATTTTGGGCTCGCAGGGTTCAACAACGTCGAACAACGCGATAAACAACATTGAAATCGAGGTAGAAATATCTACAACGAGCGCGACAAATGAAGCGACGAAATCGGATGAGACTGTAGAACTTAAGGAAAATGATAATGAAGCAGCTAATAAAAATATTGAAGTTACAATAACTAATAAAGAAGTTACGATAGAAGACATGTTAGCTGATTTCGTTGACGAAGTTAATGATGAGCCAAGTGTAGTAGTTTAAGCGCAATTCTTTGATTATTATTATTATAAGAGTAACTGTAACGCTTCCATGATTATATTAATGCTTCAAAAGTAATTATTTCGCATATCAATCAATAATCTTGTTTTATTTGAACTCTGTAGTGTGTAGTTCTTGAATGAAAAATGGACAACATTTTATTTCCCTATTTGTTTTGAATGGCAACCAAGGACGTAGAAAAATAATATATATCAATAGTGTAGTGCTAAAAGAATCTGAAAGCAAAAAGTCCGTATTGCCAGTTTGCCTCCACATATGCTAATATGCTAATAGTGCGGCTGGCTATTAAAAACTAAATCCAAATGGCGCCAGCAGTTTGTCCCTAACAAAAACAAATAAGAATGATTTTGTTAATAAATATTCCTACCAACTTACGTGACATTTAAAGTTAAAAACTCTCTACATTATGTCTTCCAACTTGAATCGCAGAACTGAAAAGACGTGATGCTTCTTTATGTGCAAAGAAAGCAGATCACGTTGAAAGGTAATTTTGTTTTCATTATATTTCGCCCATTTCACCATTCACTTAATCGCTTTTTACATTTGACATCATATAAGCCATAATACATCATCTTCAGTAGGTAGTGGATGTTTTACATAGTGATTGGCAGGTTGGAAGCAACGTATATGGTATATCCAGCGGCTGCGAACTTTGTGTAGTCATCTCTCCGACGACAAGCATTCTACCCCATTGGCTCTCGGTAGTGCCGAGCTATGTGCCCCGCCCACTGCCGTGTGCGTTACCCAGGCCAGATGTCGTCGAAAATGGTCATTTGAATCCTATAGATAATTAGTTGTGCAGCTTCTGTAATTGTTGCGCGCATTTTTAGATTTGTTGCGCTTATAGTTTTTTAAATATTTCACACAAACATTTCCTGCTGGGGTAACGTTACCCCAGCCAGTCCTTTTTCTTTATATAGGGAATATTTATATAATTACTAGATATAAAATTAGTTGTCTAGGTGAAGTAAATGTGCCTTATTTTGTATTTGTCCTTTTATCGGTTGCGAAGTTATTCGAGATTTTGCTGGGGTAACGTTTTTGGTTTTGCTAGATCTTTGAAATGGTTAAGCGGATTCTGGTCATATTTGGTACATGGCTTCTTAGGAATTAGTTCAAATTTGTTGTGCTTAGCCTAGCTTAAGTTATTTCATTAAATAGAAAAATACTTAAATTGGTCCCAGCACTCTCAATAAGAGCTTTAAAGACTTACTTTTAAACGTTATTTTAAAGCCTTCAAATGTATGTGAAGTTTCATTTTTATCCCTGTAAGTATTGAACAAGTTATGATGATAGAGTTCTTCACGAGCACGGTTTTGATGCGCGCAGTGTTATTTGGCCTCTGGATTGGATATATGAACTGAATGTTATGTCAATAATTAGTTGTTTAGTTCAGTTATATATCAGTAAAATTTCAGCTCAGTACATTGGATAATTAATGATTAAAGTCATTAGGAAGAAAATGACCGTAGTAACCCGACCAAGTTTAGGTGGATACAAAAAAGGCACTTAAGTATATAGCGCGCTGCGTGAGTGTTTTAATGAGGGCCCTAGTATTAGACCATGTTTCAGTTTCATAGGTCATCGCTGGAAATATTCGTATTATAATAATAGACCGAGAAGATTTTACTTAGTTTTCCGTAAGCTGCCCAGTTCGATGATTAAACATTTTCTCAAAATTGTATGTTCCAACTTTAAATTATAAGTGCGCCTTGTTTGAGAAATACACAAATACTCATTATAAATTTTTGTGATTACTTTTTACAATAAAAAACATTTCATATCAGCAATATTTATTTACAGTCCCTTCTCTAAAATTACTCAACATCAGACATATAGAACAAATTATTGATGCGGACATATAACAGTTCAGCTCTTTTTTTCAATATATAAATAAAAATCCCTTTTTCTATTGATCATGCCATCACAAGTGAATGGCTGGACTAATTACACTAATTCTTTTTTTGTTGTAGGTATTTGTTTTTAAAACATCTTTGCATATAGCAAGACACTATTTTTCAGGCTCATACACTATGCAAACTCCAAATATCACTGACAAAATTGATCCATGTCACTATGGTGTTAAGAGACTTCTCTCTTACAAACCAACAAACCAAATATTTTACTTAATTAAAAATGTTTAGTATTTCTTCTAACTTCGATTAGTACCTCTTCTACTGACAATGTTACCTCCCTATAGTAGGGGAGCCCATGATGCTAAATTGGGATTTACTTGAGCGTCCTTGGGACCTACTGGATTTTGAAGATATGCTGATAGAAAGAAGAAATGGTTTAGTGACAATTTCTTCCACCAGTGGGGGAAGGGGGAATCTACAGATCTTTGAAATTGTTAAGCGTAACTTTTGTTCTAGTGGTCGAGCGTGTCAGATATTGATAATGTACATGCTCCATGTGTATTTAATAATAAAAAACCCTTAATCTGCCAGTTTGCATGGTGGGGTTGAATGTTCTGGAGAGTACAAACGAGAACCCTTCAAAATCCCCCCACTCTTGCAAATCAAGTTGGAATGGGCAGATTTTTTAAACGCACTTCCTTTAGCACGGTATTGACCTACCTTCCCTTAATCTGACGAAACTGACTTTATTTAGTCAGACTTTTTTTTAATTTTCAGTCCCCCCTTCTAATCAGATCGGATATATGTTGGGTATATTTAACATGACACTAGGTTTTCCCCATATGTTAATCTGACGCGCTCGAGTAACTACCGAAATCCCTTCATGGGCTCCCCTACTACTACTCCAACGATAATGTTATTTGCCATTGGTAAAAAAAAAACTGTACTTAAAACTAATGATTACTGGTGACTCAAGACCTGTGTAAAACTGCACTGTCTCATTGCCTTCAAGTAATATCTTGCTCAGTTGAAAGTAATCTATTTGAAGTTCCACAACTCAGTAGATTATTTTTTGGAAAGTCGAAATTAATTTCAAATTCTGCGTCATGCTGGGATACAATAAGGTACACATCGTCATCTTCTTCATCTGTAACTGCGTCTTCACAGCATTGTGAAGTTGATGGCCCATCAACAAGTTGTGTTATCTTACGGCTATGGGCCTCCAATCGCTTTTCTCTTGCCTTTGCCTTCTTAGAAAGTGGTTGCGTGTCCCATGAAAAAACTGATGGCACAGTACCTTTTTTCAAGTATTTGTGTTGATGTTCCACTCCTAGAACAATATAAATGATTTGAATATTAGTTCTTTCCATTGTGATTGATTAAAACATACAAACTCACAAACTGGTGAGTCTGTAAAGGAAGGAAGTCTGAAGGAAGAGGGGTGAAAATAGGAATAACAGTAGATTATTTATTTATGGTTGACACATAGCAACTTTTTAAACCACGGGGACACGGGCGACTGCCTCATTGACCGAGTGGACGCAAGTGCGACTGCCGGGTAAAGGGTTTCGGGTTCGATTCCCGGGTGGGACAAAGTATAACCGGTTCTTTTTCAAAAAATCTCAGTAGTAGCACGGAGTCCGGAAATGTGCCCGGTATAATGGCAATAGGCTCACCCCCTATGGGACTCAATACTAACATAAAATAGTGAAAAGTGGATGTTACATTATTTTTGGCATCTAGTGCCGTAATGATGATCCGTCTACTCGTTTGCCTCCCATTCCATAAAAAAATGTTCACCTCTGCCTACCCCTTGGGGGATAAAAGGCGTGAAATTATTAGTAGGTAATAAATAGCTTAATCCTGAGCTTTGAATCAACAGCTTACCCGTATATATACTGACTTTTTGATAATCACTTTCCAAGAAATGTTTCCTACATAACCTTGTATCTTTAGTAGGAATGAAATTTTTTCTACGTATAGCTTTTAACCAAAGCTGGCACATTTTCTCATCTTTGGGAATACGATGTACTCCACTTCCATCGCAATTCGATACAACACAGCGCGGCATTTCAAATTTATAAATGTTTACGCCAAAACGTAAACAAACACTTATGTCAGAAACAGACAGATTATAATATAACCACAAACTCTTTACAATCAAATGACTTTCTGACTATTTATTAATGGGTCAGTCACAGCCAAATTGGAACGACGGAGCGGTTGTTTCACCAATAAATAAATCGTAAGATTCACAGTCACATCAGTTCGACCTCTTACAGTAACATAGTGTCTTGCAATTACCAATTATTTTCTTAATTTCTTTTCGGCCTATCAGGTATAGAAAAAACTGAGATTTTTCTTCGTTTTTTTTTTTTTTTTTTTTTTTTTTTTGGCAACCGAGTCTCCAAAACGGTGTTGTCGACTATACTGCCAGTGTCGAGTGGTGACGGCAAAATTAATGAACCGTCGAACTTAACTTTGCGGTAGTTTTTAGTTGTTAGTAGCTGGAAAGACAGAACAATTGGGTTAGTAAACATAGACATTATCAACTATTTTATTGTATGTATACAGTGGTGTAAAAAATAGTTGGGGGACATACACAATACAGACAGATATGAATATATATACATCATTTACATCATTGAACACCGTCATATTTTAATGTCATTTTCATTTATAAATTTACATAAACAATTGATTAATTTGTAGGAAAAGTGGGTTAAAAGGAGGTGGAAACTGATTGGGAGAGGGATTTGGATTTTGGGAAGTTTTTTATAGAGGTCAAAGGATTTGGAATTTAAGGGACACGAAAAAAAGATGTGTTCTAAGGTTCCCTCATCAAGGCCGCATTCGCACAGCGAGCTGTCGCGAACGCGGATCTTGCTGAGGAAGACCGGACTACTGCAATGGCCGAGTCTGAGCCTGCACAAGGATGAAACAGTATGACGGGGAAGCTTGGGGTACTTGGAAAACCAAGGTTTCCGTCGGATGCCGGGCTGGACAACCGCATAGTAGGCCCCTTTATGTTTGGATGTTTCTACCCATACTGCAGTCCATGAGTCAAACAGCTTGTGCTTTGTGTCTGCACGTATATCATACCCGTACACAACGTGGTGCTGGCGTTCGACATCGTTCGAGGCCGCAAATTTGGCCAATGAATCCGCACACTCGTTACCACATATGCCAGAGTGGCCAGGGATCCAAGCGATCTCGATATTTATGCCATCTTTGTAACAAGAGAAAAGAAGTGCCTTTATCTCAACAACCAAACTGCTATGGGTTCGGGAATGGAGCTGGTCTTGGTTGAGAGATTGTAGGCTACTCCGGGAGTCGGAAAAAATAACAGAGTTTTTTAGGTTGTGTGCTCTAATAAACTTAACTGATTCTAAAATGCCAATGCATTCTCCCGTGTAGACAGATGCTTCCGGGGGACACTTAGAGAGGAGGGCGATCTTCGAATTTTGGAAGTACGCTGCCACTCCTGTACTTCCGTTTCGAGATAGCTTAGACGCGTCTGTGAAAAAAATATTCCAACCTTTCCAGTATTTGTTCAAGGCGCGTCCGAACTCGCCCGTAGCATCCACGGAGGATTTCGAGATGCCGAGCCCTAGAATCAGCTTTGGCCTGAAGTGGATAACCTCATATACGGAAGAGAAGACCGGGAGTACAGGATATTGCTTGATGGGTGCAGAGAGGTTTTTAAGCTCCCTGTACCTGACAATCACGGGAGGGGCAGGTTTACTATTCCAGTAGGAAGAGGAGCTATAGGAACAGTGGATTTGTTCTAGGATAGGAAGAAGGGGATGTGATGAGAGGGAGAGGACTTTTGAGATGAATCGGTCTGCAAGGTATTGTCTTCGAAGGTTGAGGGGAGGCTCTACACATTCAACCTGAAGAGCATTTATGGGGGATGATTTCATAGCTCCGGTAATTATTCTAAGGCATTTGGCCTGAATGGAATCTAGTTTTTTTAATGCACCCTTATTGCAAGGAACAATAAGGAAGCAACAATAGTCCATTACGCTTCTGACCAATGCATTGTAGATGAGCTTCAATGAGTAGGGGTGAGCACCCCACCATACCCCAGCCAGAGCTCTAAGTACCGATACCGAGCGTTCACACCTTGCAACCACGGTGTTTATATGATCCGCCCCAGACATCTTTGCATCGAGATAAACCCCCAAGAACCTAGCACTGCTTTTGATCGGGATATCCTGACCGTCTATCTCTATACGAAGGTCCGGAGTGCGTCGTTTGCGTGTAAAAATGACAGCTGAGCTTTTTGGGGCGCTTAAAGATAACCCGTGATTAAGAAGCCATTGGTTTAATGAGGCCAAAGAGACATTGATGGAGTGGGCAGCGTCTGTTATAGAGCTATTGGTAACCATCAGTGCGATATCGTCAGCATACTGAAGGACATTACAGTTGAAATTTAAACAGGAGGGGAGGTCATATGTATAAATATTATAAAGGATGGGACTAAGGACTGACCCCTGAGGCAAACCTTTCCAGGAGGACCTCCGTACTGGGTTATCCTCAGGAGTTCTTAATTGGAGGGTACGATCGGAAAGGATGCAGGCTACAATTCGGCAGATCCTACGCGGGATTCTCAGCTCTTGCAGTTTCTGCCTGAGAAGGGGTAAGAGGACAGAATCATAGGCCGCTGAGATGTCCAAGAAGACCGCGACCAACGACTCCTGCCTGCTAAGGGCCAGTCGGATGGCTGACGTGAGGGTACCCACACTGTCAGCCGTACCCAGACCTTTCCTGAAGCCGAACTGAGTCGCCGGAAGCAGCCTCTGGCTTTCTACCAACCATTCAAGGCGGTTTTTGATGAGATGTTCAAATATTTTAATAAGTATGGACGATAGGGCAATAGGTCTATACGACGAATGGTTACCAGGATCCTTGCCAGCTTTTAACAGCGGCATAATAACCTGAACCTTCCAGGTAGGAGGAATATAGCCTGAATTAAAGCAAAAATTGACTAAGTCAAGGTAGTATTGCTTCGCTTTTGTTCCTGCCTTAGTTAAGAAGGAGTAGGGGAACCCATCAATCCCTGGTGCCGAGTCCTTCACATGATTGAGTACCGTTTGGAGCTCTTCAGGTGAGAACTCCAAATCGAGCGGGTCATGCGACTCGGGTCGCTCGATCTCATGGGATCTCAGGCAGCATTCATCTGCGGCGGGAACATAAGTTGGAGCAATATTGTTAAAAAAACTGTTAATCAGAGATTCAGGTAAGGTGGAGACAGTGGGAGGTTTGGTGGAGTTTCTAAAATTTTTGACTCTCTGCCAAACTGTGGATATTGGAGTCGATGGGCTCAAGGAACCACAAAATCTCTGCCACCCTTGTCTCTTCTTTTTCCTGAACAATTTCCTTGACTTAGCCAAAATTCGTTTGAAATTTATGAGGTTTTCCAGGTTCATATTTCGGTTATATGTTTTTTCAGCCTCATTCCTAGCTCTTATCATGGCAGTGCATTCACTATCCCACCATGGTGGAGAAGGTATTTTGCCTTTCGGTGTGTTTTTCACCGGAAAGCAATCTTCGGCTGTGGAGGCTATCAGGTCTGAGAATTTCGAGAAACACTCCAAAGAATTCTCGTTGTTAATTGATGGAAGGGAAGAGGTGCGGAGGTCTAATAATTTTGAGTAAAGATCCCAATCTGCAGAATCTAAACGGTATTTTAATAAGGGAGGAAGGGGTTTATCCGGAATGGATTTTGACGGGTGTTTAATTATGATGGGATAGTGATCACTACCATAGGTCAAATCTAAACAACTCCAATTTAGCACGCTAGCCATATCAGGCGAGCAGAAGGTCAAGTCCACACAGCTGTTTCTTTGACCAAATGCAGACCTACGAGTAGGACTGCCATCATTAATGACACACAACTCGAGTTCATCCAGCATCTCAACTAGCTCATTACCCATATTATCACATATCTCTGAACCCCATCTATAGTGGTGGCAGTTGAAGTCACCCATTACAAGTAATGGGCCACTTACCGAGGTTAGTAGATTTCTAATCAAAATAAGCTGGTCAACATGAGGGTGAGCAATGTAAAATACAAATATGTTTATGTCCTCAGCCTTAACAGCGACAACATTTATGTCATCGCCAACGAAGGGTAGAGGAATCTGGGAGAAGGGTACTTTGTTATTAACTAACAAAGCACAACCTCCATAACCATCAGATCTGTCATGTCTGACAACATTGAAACACGGGATTCCGAAATTTATATTCGGTTGAAGCCATGTCTCAGCAATGCCACAAATCAATGGTTTAAATTTATTGATCAAGTGGAGTAAGTCACTCTTCCTGGGAAGAGTACTCCTCACGTTCCACTGAAGCAGTGTTAGAGGCAGGAATTTTGCAAATATAATCAAGAATTGTTGAAAGTTTGTGTGCCACGTGGTCAGGTACGGTATGGGCAGGGTTTGATAGTACTGCCATGAGCATATCAGAAACTATGTTCAAAATGTTTTCGGAGCTACGAGTGTTGGTTCCGGATTCCACAGGGAAAGCGCAACCACTTTTAGATGGGGAGAACGAGTAGTTATGTATAAGGGCCTGATGAGCCTTCTTATCATAACTAGGAGAGAGGGGAACATGTGATTTGGGTTTGGGTTGGATAGTTTTCTTGTAGGAAACTTTTTGTTGGGATGGTTTTTTAGTAGGTGATGGCTCTGTGAGGTTTACTGATCTAGAGACCTCAGCATATGACCTTTTTACAGTAGGGAAAACTTGGCTTGCTTCCGCATAAGAAATTGATTTTTCTGCCATCAGAGCTTTGATGCTCTTCTGGCGACCCAATTCAGGACAAGCTTTGTCATTCGCAAAGTGGTTGCCATTGCAATTGATACAGGTGGCAATCTCAGCTGAAATTTGGCATCCATCACCTGGATGGTCCTGGCCACATCTGAAACAACGTGGCTTGGAGCGGCAAAGAGTGCGGGTATGTCCGAAACGACAACAGTGATAGCACTGTATGGTAGGATATGAATATAGTTCCACCGGGAGTGCTGAATAGAAACAAAACACTTTTTTGGGTAGTGTTTGACCGTCAAAAGTAAGCACTACGGTTTGGGTAGGCTTCCATTCGGTACCGTTTGGGGTTGAGACTCTGCGATTCATCCTCCTAGCTTTTATCACAGCCCCACACCCGGTGGGAACCCTGATGTTGCCAATGATTTCGTCCTCTGTCCATTCCACAGGGACGTCCCTGACAATGCCCATACGGGTAATGTTAAATTGAGGGATCGAAGTCATGTAATTTTGAGCTACCATA